ATTATTTAAAGCTTTATAGGTGAGAAGCAATATTTTAAATTCAATACAAAACCTAACTCTCCAGTTCACTGTGCTCTCAACTATGACGACGTCCGCTACTGAGAAACCCAGATATGTGAAAAGGGTCTATACCAGGGGTGTCCAAACTCAGTCCTGGAGGGCCGCTGTCCTGCATATTTTAGTTCCAACTCAAATTAAACACACCTGAACCAGACAATCAGGCTTTATTAGGTATACTAGAAACTACTGGAACTTCCAGACAGGTGTGTTGAAGCTATGCAGGACACCGGCCCACCAGGACCGAGTTTGAACACCCCTGATCTATAATATACATATCATTCTACAACACAGCGCAGTTTACTGTAGTAAAACTGAAGCATAATACAGTATTTATCAGTTCATTATGTGTGTTCATCAGTGTTGATTTGATGTGTGTGTGTGTGTGTGTGTGTGTGTGTGTGTCTATTGATCAGCAGCTGAATATTGAGTGTTTTAATTGCTGATGAGCGCAGTACTCCTGTTCCTCAGCCCGAAAACACAGATAAAGCTCAGCCTTCACACGTCTGCATCATACAACACACACATACACACGCACGCACGCACACACACTCACACACACACACAAGGAAATGTGTGTTGCGTTTCAAAGATCAAGACAGGCAGTGAGATGTGGGGTTGTGCAGACTCTGTGCAGAGCTCCTGTGTGTCCTATTCTAGAGTTACTGTCAGAATATGAACCCTGAATAATGAACACTACTGGCGGATCTGCTTGATCAGAACACTCACCAGTGATCCTCTATCATCATCATTATTCTTCAGCTCTATACACAGCACATCAATATTAACCCGATCACATGTATTATGATCACTTATTATCTGGTCAGAAGATCAGCTCAGGATAAGAGTTTGATTTGAGTCCAGTGTAAATATTCCTGTTACTCTTACTGAACATTATTACTGTGTTCACTACAGAGATGTGGAGCATTACTGCAGAGATCTTACACATGTGTTTAATGCAGACAGCACAACGGGACAGCTTGCTTCATTTGTCTTTGCCTTATTATATTAATGAAGCTCACGTTACTACAGTGCCCTCTCCTAATACACCGCTGGACTGCTTCTGTTTAATGAGTCTGCTCACATCAACTGTAGAAGTGTCATGTATGATATAATGAGCTCTGATACTACAGGAATCCAGTGTAGAGGGAATTAAACCAGTCCACAATCAGTGATTGTTGACCACAGCGCTTCATACTGAGAACTATTACAACACACTCCTGACAGAGCAGAGCTGGACCCCACGGCCCCCGAGAACACACACACACACACCAGTATCAGAGAGGACAGTCACACACACGTTCACATTGATTTTCCACTGAACAGGTTCCACTGTGTTTGCCTGATTATTTACTTAAACTCCTACTCCTGCAGATGACACACACACACACACACACACACACACACACTGCTGTCCAAACGTGCAGAAGGCAAGCGTGCATGTTCATTCTTCCCTCATACATGTTTAATCGCATTGCAAAAATCACCAATAAATTAAAAAATTAGTTTGCCCACCGTGGACTGAGAGAGCTAATGCCGTGATCACAGTGCCCACACCATTCAGATATCTCTACGACAGCTCTCAGACAGCTGAGAGGACTTCACTTGTTGTGCATTCGTATATTACATGCTGTACTAAATAAATATCTTCTAAAAATCTGTTAAAGGCACAGTTCACCCTAGAGATGTACACATACTCACTGTTTACTCACTGTTTTAAAGCTTATGGGTTTCTTTTAGTTGTTTAACACAGCGTATCTGCTTGAGTGACGCTGAACACCGCTCACCGCTGACTTTCATAATAGGAAAAGCAAATACTGTAGAGGTCAACGGTTTCAGGATCTAACATTCTGCAAAACTTCATAAAGAAACTCACTGGGTAAATGATGACAGGATTTTAGTTTTTGCCCAAACTATTCCTTGAATGATAGCGAGGTCAAAGGTCATGGTGAGAAAAGCTGCATTTAAATACTATTATTTACATTCCTGCGTCCTCTTCCAAGAACAATATGATTCAATCATGAGCCAAAGGTCAGTACGAGAGGACAGATGGAGCCGTTTGCATCCACCAAAATCTACTGACAATAGAAGAATATTTATATATAAAGAAACTGTGGAAGAAAGAACCCATGCAGAACGACTCTAAATAAAGACAACACAGCAGATAGCACGACTTGAAGATTGAGGAAATGCCACTAAGGCACAATTCTTGCTATTAACTTTGCATTTTGCCCCAATAAACTGCCTCTTTGCTGCTTATTAACAGTAATTAAGGTTATAGTTGGGTGTAGGATTATGAATGTTGAATATGATCATTTTATAAGAACTGATAATCAGCCAATATCCTTATAATAGGCAGGTCATACAGTAAACTACTGGGTAGAGTGGAGAATCAGTACTTACACTAAAGTTCTACCATTACATGTTTTCCACAGCCGCTATTGAAGCTTAACCTTCATAAACACACACATATACGGTAATCACAGACGCGGATCAAGTCAACTGTTCTAGGGCAGGAATGGCTGTTGCTGAATAGTGTTAGGAAAGGGTTTGATCATACTTTAAATGTTGACTGCTGTATATGTGTGTGTGTGTCTTGTATTACTTATGTTGTGGGAAGCAAATGTCCCCAAATGTTGTCTATAGACCTTTTGGGGACCTTTTTAGGTGTCAATAACTAATGAAATAACTGCCCTTTGCACGGCAAAACTGTTGAGTGGAAATATGTCTTTACGATAATAAGCACTGGACATTTCCCACCTGATGAAAGAATTCTGAATGATGTGAGATTTGTCCTGCATGAGTGTGTTAGTGAGGTTTTATAATCAGAGTTAGATTAGTGTGTGTGTGTGTGTGTGTGTTTGCGCCCCCTCAGTGAGCAGTGATCTTTGCCCCCAGTGAGCAGGCTGGGTAGGGGTTGAGGGTCAGTCCTCCTCCTCTCGGTCTGCAGTATAAGAGGCTCCCGCTGGCCCCGAGTCTTCAGTCTCTTCCCAGACCAGCCACATCCACAGGTAGGCAGTCCAGCGCCGGCACACACACAGGGGTACACACTCGGGGACATATTTAAAGTCTTTACTGACTTCAGGTTAAGTCACTTTTACAGCTAAAAGGAGCGGGAAGTGATTGGCTTCGGTTTGCAGACTCGAGAGTCGAAGCGTGCTTCAGCAGATCTGATCAGTTATTTTGGCCTGACGGCACAGCAGTCTTGGCCTGGAGGTTTCCAGATAATCCGGGATTTCAGATTATGCAGCGGTGGACAGCTAATCTGGTTGTGAAGCCTTTGTAACTCTGTCTAATCCGGGATGAGGCCGGTCTAATAGGCTGACATCTGCTCTGGGTGAAGCCAGGCCTGTGCTGTGCTGTCGGGCTGATATCTGTAAATCACTGACCCAATACACAGAACTATTCTCTGGGCTTGGGTTGTGTGTCTCAAACATGTCTCCTCAGTCTATATCTGATATTCTCTTTGCTGTTGTGTGTGTGTGTTTTACACAGATCCATGATGAGGTTCGTAGCCCTCGCCCTCACCGTATTCCTGGCAGGTATAAAACACTTTACTTCTCTCACTTTCCTCATTTCCAGATTCATGAGCAACATCTGCTTGAGATGTGCCAGAGCTGTCACTGCTGTGGTACATTTTCAAAAGGTACACATTTGCAGCTAAAGGGTCTACGTTGATATATTAGTATACTTTAAGTTTTCATTTAGTTTCATGAGACCTGTTTATCCCAATGCATGTTTTTTGAAAAGGTCCCACACCAGTGACAGCTCTCGTACCTGTCTGTCTGAGACTGAAGAATATGTATTCTATTGATGAACTAACGATGCTTGTTGTGGCAGGTTGCCAGGCCCGGTTCCTGCAGGACGAGCCCCCATCGCAGCTGGAGCATGTGAAGTCTGCACTGCAGGTTTATGCAGATCATCTGAAGCAGGCCGCACACAAGTCCCTCACTCACCTCGACGACACCGAGTTCAAAGATTACAAGTAAGAAAGAGCAGAGCCGGGAGCAGACTGTGCTATTTACCCCACAACATCAACATCTACACTGTGCCAGATCTGTCTCTGCAGTGGCCCAACAGCTTCTCAATACAGCAGAACCCTTAAAGGGGCAACTCTGTACATCACTGACCCTTACGTTTGCACATTTACAGCCATAATGTTTAATAGAAATAAACGCCCTATTAAAGAGTAAGACATCTCCCCTATTTAAGCCAGAATGGTTCAGTTTTCCCCTTTTTGAGAGTGCATGTGAAGAGATTTAAAGTGCTGTCAGATCATTTTCTTGTCAGATTTTGCTTCCTCTCCTTCAGAATATGGGTAGCACATTTTGATGACAAAAATGAAACATGCGTAAATAATGTTGATATGGAGTCCATCCTAACCCACCGCTATCCCTAACCTCAACAGCCTTCAAACACAGAGTTGTTAGCATGAAATCAGGGCTTTGAGAAATAATGATTCCACTGACAGCCGCACTCCTCCTTCTGTGCAGAGTCTTCCTGGGCCAGTCCATCGACAACCTCCATTCCCACTTCCAGAACTTCTTCCAGGTCATCACGCCTCTGGGCTCTCAGGTGATGGATGCCACCAACCCCATCCGCGAGAAGCTGAACAAGGACATGGAGGACCTGCGCAAGGACATCGAGCCCAAGCGCGAGGAGCTCAGAGCCGTGCTGGAGAAACACTTCAATGAGTACAGGGATGAGCTGAAGCCCTTCATGGACGACTACCTGGTCAAGCAGCGTCAGCACATGGAGGAGGTCAGGGCCAAGCTGGAGCCTGTGGTCCTCAGCCTGAAGGAGAAGATCCCACCCAACTGGGAGGAGACCAAGTCCAAGCTGATGCCCATCCTGGAGGCCATCCGAGGCAAGGTGGCGGAGAACGTGCAGGAGCTGAGGACCATGCTGGAGCCCTACGTCCAGGAGTACAAGGACCAGATGGAGAAGGGAGCCTTGGAGTTCAGAGAGAAGGTGAAGTCTGGAGAACTGAGGAAAGAGCTGACCGAGCTGGGAGAGCAGGTGAAGCCACACTTCGAGGGCATCTTCAAGGCCCTCCAGAAGTTCGCCAGCAAGGAGTAAAGCGACCGTTTTGTACACCATCCCATCCTCCCTTATCCACGGCTTCTCTCAGAGCATAGCTGATCTTTTCTCTCTCTCTCTCTCTCTCTCTCTCTCACACAAACACACACACACACACACACACACACACACTGATACAGGCCCGTAGTACACTCATATGCACTTTGTACACATGACCACACACACACAGACACACACATGCAGGACTTGCGTTCTCTCTAATGGGCAAACTCAGCTAAGAACACTGAATCCTGTTCATTCAAAAACGCCTAGCAAAATCCCTTTGTTAAGCTGCTTTGTGTTAAAAACTGATGTTCAATGTTCAATCCAATGAAATAATAAAAATAACAAACTTTCATACTACTCTTGTTCCGTGTCTGCATGTGTCTCATTAGTGAGGTGTGTTTGTTGTACATGTATGGGGATTGTATTTAAGCGATATATATATATAGGAAATATGAATATTATTGTTTTTAATGGACAAATGCACAACAGCCCTCGTGACCCTCCACAGACTCCACACTTTTCTATATTCCAGATTTGATTAATGAGTTGATTTGGAAAACGTGTCACCGGTAATCAATAGACCCTGCTCTAGTGATCTGTTACTTATTGCTAATGGTGTAAGATGGATGCGCTGGCTATATCAGTGTCCTCAGGCCACAGACCATAACGTCAACACCTCACCATAGTTTAGCCTCAACACATTAATGAAAAACTGAAGTCGTACAATTCAGAGCCGACCAGTTCAAACTTAATAGTGCAGCTCCACAAACATCCCCTGCATCAAGTGTGGAGGAGCAGCTAGCAACAAGCAGCTCAGAGAGAAGCTCAGCGGCGTTATACGTAGCCTAGCACATGATGCTTTTATTACCATTTATTACTGATATTTGCAAATAAGATGTTCAAGAAATGTCATTTCATTTTAGTCCATAGACTTCTCTAGCAAAGAATGTGGTGCAATACCTTCACTCCCTTTACCAACATGGAGCTATTTCATATTTCAGCTTCTCCAGCACTGCCTGCGTCAAGATTTAGCACAATACCATCAATCGATTTAAATAAAGAATGAAGTGTGGTGTGATGTGGTGACGCAGTAGGTGGTGCTGTCACCTCACAGCAAGAAGATTGCAGGTTCGAGCCTCGGCTGGGTCAGTGTGTGTTTCTGTGTGGAGTTTGCATGTTCTCCCCGTGTTGGCGTGGGTTTCCTCCAGGTGCTCCGGTTTCCCCCACAGCCTAAACACATGCAGTACAGGTGAATTTAGTAAGCTAAGAGATTGTCAGTAGTGTATATGTGTGAATGAGTGTGTATGTGTGTTTTCCAGTGATGGGTTGCAGCTGGAAGGGCATCTGCTGCGTAAAACATATGCTGGATGAGTTGGCGGTTCATTCTGCTGTGGCGACACAAGATTAATAAAGGGACTAAGCCGAAAAGTGAATAAATGAATGTGATGTGATGGTAAAAATGGTCATCATGCATAAATGCACATGGAGGATTATTAGGAGATGCATCTTCAGGTCTGTCAGGGCCTTAAGGCTGGGATGCGAGTGCACATGGAGAGCTTTTGAGCCTCTGAGAAGGGGAAAGGTCACAGCGGTGACCCCTCAGCATCAGGACAATGGTGCTGAAAGTCCAGTCTTCTGCTGGAGCTGAAACACCGAGGCATCGATCAGCCGGAGGATTCTCCTGTCCACAGCCGGATGATGTATCTGTAATTACAGAGTTCGTCTGAGGCATCGTGGGTCATGGTTTGTGAAGGAGTGATATGGATGAGGTGCTGAAATACTGCATATTAGAGCTCTCAGATAGGATATAAAGGCAGGATGGAGCCACTGAGGACTGTGAACGGACACACTCAGACCTGAAGTGTGCACCACTGCGCGCTGGACCAGAGGGCATGATGAATGGTAATGTAGTCCTTTCGTATTTTGATTGTACTTTTGGAGACTTGTGATTAGTGTTTTTGTCTTGGTTTAAGGTAAATATGATGTTGGAACTTGCTGTGAAGTGATTTCAGAGAAGGTGTCTTTTTCCTGTGATTTTAAAGCTGAAGGTGTAAAATGTCACAAGTGTCACTGTCTGCAATCTCTGCATTCACTCCTAATCAAACGGTTGGAAGATTTGTGTTACGTTAATTATGAAGAGAGACTCATCTGCTCAACCAAGATATGTACTATTTTTTAATAAAAATAAATGAAAAATGGTAATATTGAAAAGAACAGGTCAACATTTGAAGCACTTTCATTCTGACTCTAAACATTGAAGCTATTGAACATTTGACCAAAACGTTTTCAAAACTGTCCAAGAAATGGTTTTTGAATAGTTTTAGGCCAACTTTAATGAAATGCTTTGATCCACTTCTAATGTTGACCACTATATTTTGATAAATAATAATAATAAAATAATAAAATAACGTGTAAATACATAAAATAAAAAAAAAAACACTGAAACAGCCCAGAGTCCTGATCTAAACCTGACAGTTCTGAGAGAGAAACTAGCAGTTTGCTCTGGGAGACTAGTCATATCCACTGTGTGTCTGACCTGTGTGTGTAGTGTGTGATCTGTGTGTATCATCTGTGTTTGTGTGTTTGTGTGTGATCTGTGTGTCTGATCTCTGTGTGTGTGTGTGTGTGTGTGTGTGTGTGTGTTTGTGTGTGTGTGTGTGTGTGTGTGTGTGTGTGTGTGTAGTGTGTGGTCTGACTCAGGCATGTCCTCCTGAAGAGGGTCGCTCCTGCAGTAAAGCTCCAGAAGTGTCCAGCGTCCGGGTTCAGCTGGAGATGCAGAGTCTGTGGAGGCAGTTTGACCAGCTCGGCACAGAGATGATCGTGACCAAAGCTGGAAGGTTTTCTTACACTTTTACTTGTGTGTCATTCCATCTTTACAGAGTCTGATAAGATGACCCGAATCTTTGATGATGGCTCAGGGTTAGAGAACTGAACTCTGTCAGTGCTGTACTCTCCTGTGTATCAGTCAGTGGTCAGCAGCTGTAGTCTGATGTTGGTTGTCTTCATACAGAAGGATGTTTCCCACGTTTCAAGTGCACATATCAGGCATGGATCCTGCAGCAGAGTATGTGCTCCTGATGGACTTTATTCCTGTTGATGACAAACGATACAGGTACTACAAACTAATCCAAATGAATGTATCTCTGTTTAGCCTGTAATTGATGTCTAACAATAACCGCAGTATAAACACAATCAAGAGGTTCAGCAGAAATACAATGCAAACATCATCAAATCTCACGATGCATTAAAATATGTATATCACTACGTTTTTCACATTGATGAGCCATAACATCATGACCACCTCCAGTCTAGAGGACTGAGCCTGTTCCTTATCTCTGCTAATGTCTTCACCTCCCAATATGGCTGAGATGAACACATGGAAAAGCAGGTATTCCCTATATACACCACCATCAGCCAGTGATGTACGGGAATACTGCAGCACT